TTTTAATATATATAGTTTTGTAGATCTCGACGAGCTCTATCGAATCATGTAAAAATATCCAAGAAAAACATTTTACTCGATTTTTGAATTACTGGCACCTTACTTTCCCATCCCAAAAAAAGTATAAAATTTCTGAAAGTTTCTTAAGTTCGATATTAAAAAGTTTTTATAACTCTCACTATTTAGTATCAATAAACCCCATTTTTGACGAGCTTTCATTTAATATAAAATTCATTATGTCTTCTATTTGAAATCATAGTGTTACCTCTCTGGAATAATATTTTTACCCACCTAGTACAATTAATTTTCTATGAGTATTAACAATTTTATCTGGTACCAAATCTTTATTAATGTTAAATGTACCGTAATAATTGTTTAGTTTTTGCTGAATCTTATTGAATATATCCTTTTTTTAGTTTCGGTATCTGATTCTTTTTCATTATAATTTCGAGAGAATAAACTATCCTCACTTAGTATAGTGCTTTGGTTAATTGTTTTTCAAAATATTTACTATGCGATTGTGAATTTGAATGTTGTAGCATGGAAAAATTGTCTAGTTGTTTCGTTACAATTTTTGTTAAAAAAAGGCAATTCTTTTTTTTTTATCACTGTGATAAATGGAAGCATAGAGGAGAACCTGCACTGGAAGAAGCTAACGAATGAGAAAGATGTTCCTTTTTAAGTTCAAAAATTTTCTTCAAAATATGAAGTTGTCGAGTAATCTGACTATGCTAGAACAAAATGAGAGAACCGAGAAAAAGAAGAATATGAATGACTAAATAAGAGATTAATTTAACGTTTGAATACTTTCTTTAGACATCATATCCGTTTGTTTTTGTTATTCACTTTGCAAAAAGAAATATTAAATCCACTTCTTAGTTGTAATACTATAGTATCGTCGAAATGTAATAGAAAGAATCATCTTACTTCATGTTTAGAGACACATTGATCATATGAAAACAAGAAGTAGTAAGAAGTCATACTATCTATGACTAGTTATAAAATTGATACCTTTTAAACTAATGATAAAATCACTAACAATGTAATTAGGTTTTTTTTTTAATAGATAGATTATATTCTATAGGCACATATTAGTAAATGCATCTATTTATTTCCTTCTATATTTGGTATTTACATAGAGGAAATACTATTGAAATATGTACTGAAAGGAAGTGCGCAATTAGACAGACATGCGTTTGACAATGAGATTCAGTAGATGATATCCTCGTTTTTCATAGAGTAATCTAACATGGTACTGGATCAATTAATAATATAGATGTAAATAGTTGATTCATATTATAATTTTGAGTGAAACCTTAACTTCTACATTATTCTAAAGTAATTAGATTTGATTATTTGTTATTGTTGAAATTAATTGGATTCGTAAAAACATCTTTTTCTCTAATCTATTTTTCTTTTTGTTTCTTTCACATGATATAATATGATTTTGAGAATTTCTTTGTTCGAGACCTCGGAGAACTGAGCTACCCATTGACATGAATGAACATGTTAATTTTATTATAAGTTTTGACCAAGAGAAGTTTTTTCTACGCCGTCGCATAGAGCACAACAAGTTGTCTAGGAAAAGCTAATTTTTGAATTTTTACTAAGGTTCAAGATGACACTTGAACATTCCTGTTAGTCAATTCATTTTTTTAAATCTAGCACGAAGTTGGATACACATCTACTGTCTACATCATCATTGTCAACTATGAATTGTAGAATATCGTGGAAGTTTTACTGGCACTGCGTATTAAAAATCATTTTCTTCTCTTTCACGTGATTTAATAAAAAAAGTCACATGAGAAGTGTTCTGACTGGAAACAAAAAATTTGAATGCGATTAGAATTTCACTGAATATGAAATTGTCTATTGTTAGACACTTTCTTAGTCTTTCGGTTAAAACAAAAATAACTTTCTTTCTTTTTAGAAGAACAAATGAGAGAATCACTAGAAAAAAAGGATCTTTTCCGTATACATATCTTTAATATTCAGTTAGAAAAGAAACAATGTTGGTAAATATTACTATTACTGTTGTTACTTTAATCAGCTCGAGTTTCACAATATTGATTGCTTTCACTTTGTTGCTTATCTTGTTCATTCGCCTACAAAGAAAACATGATGTTTCACTTCTTCTTACAACAAATACATACATAGCTATGATTACATTTTCTCTCATGATTTTATCACAGACTATTAATGCTCTTAAAGCAGATTTATATGGAACCTATAATCTTACCGATAAACAACCAATTGGCTGCCAAGTTCTAGGTTTTCTTACTTATGAGACATTTGGTTGTTTATATATGACTTTTGTTCTTCAAGCATTTTATCGATTAACAAGAATTGTATATAACAAACATAGATTTTTACAGGTATGTAAAGTTCTATCGTTTATTTTTAAACATACTTGATATAATTATTTGTATTGAAATTGAAGCAATCTAAAAAATAAAGGATATAATTATAGGCATTTTCATTCAATTTAATATGTATTGTACTTCAATGGATTATATATTTTTTTCTCACTCTTCCATCATACTTTTGGTCAGAACCATTCTATTCTTTATATGAATCAGTTTATTATTGTGGTATTCGATATGAAAAGATTCTTGAACTTTCTTATATGATTATGAATATTTTCTTTTTTCCTCTTATTTATCTGGCAATAATCTATGCTCGTTTGTTGCATTTTATTCATCATCAAGTTTCTCAATTGTCACAAGAACGACAACGAAGAAGAATTCAACGTGATCTGATTATTACTCGTCGTATTTTATTTACTGTCATTGCTCTTACTTTACCGGGATTACCAAACCTAGTTTTTGCTATTATGACAAATATTGATTTTTGTTTTTCAGGTTCATATTATATGTATCGAATACAATTTATGGCTCCAACAATAACTATATTCATAATTAGTATAGCAATCATATTTATTAATCCACAAATCAAACAAATACTTATAAGATTAAAATTTTCTAGAAGTCAAGTAGCACCAATGATATTGCAAATGCGAGAACTACAAGATCCTTCTATTCTTCTATCAGTACCAATTCAAATTTAAAACTATATACCTATCTGCTTCAATTTTATTAAACTGGTTCAATCTTGTTTCATTTTGTTTATAATAATAAAATATTGTTGACTCTTTTTTTCCTGTAACTTCATCTTGGATATCGACTGATGTATTTGTTTAGTATTATGATTATTCAGATAAAAGAGTATGTGTTGTCATAAGTTCAATTCTATATTGGATTAAAACAAACCATGGGATATGTGATCAAATGCGAAATATAACAAATTTCAGCGTCTGCAAACTATATCTAATTATATGTTTACTATATTTTATAACTGAATATCGCTGAAGTGCTTCCATGTCGCTAACAAATATGAAACATAAATAACAAAAATACATCATAAGTGATTTTATAGTAAATGTAGCATTATAATAAGAATTGTTTTAATTGCATTCAACTTGTTTCAGCAAACTATCTAAATGATGCATCGATCAAGTAATTAGTTTTTACCGTAGAAACTAGACATGGATGGCGGGATGACTAGTTTTTGGTACCAGTCCTTGTAATATCTTGCATATATCTATTTAGAACGCATGAGACGAGATAATATAGAAGACGGAAGAACACATATGTCTTCCAGCTACTTAGAAGTAGATTTATCAGCCCGATATCTTCCCTACAGCTAATACTAACTCTAAGTCAAGACAGTAGATCGGTCTAATGAAGAATTCTTGTACTCAATCGCTCAAGCTTCCCGTACATCTTAACTAACCACGAGAATAAGTGCATGCCACAACTTAGTCAGCATGCTATCGAACGGATGATCAGAGAAAAACAGCCGTTAGCAACTCGTTCAAGGTAGTTTCCATGGTTGATGATGATATCAATGTTTCAACACAATTCTATGTGGAAACTTGTCGAACAATGTAGCCGTTCAGCAGGGAGCTTCTCCAAATGTCAAATTCTTTTTCAACTGAGACAATGTTCATTAGATGAGTTCTAGAGAATAGAAAAAAAGTTTAGAATGGTTTAGTTTTCTTAGGCCTTCGTATCTGAGATATCAAAATTTTTCTGCGCGCTTTCATAATAAAGTTGTGATCTTCTAAAGTTATAACTTTTCTAGTATTTGCTATCTTGAGATATTCAATATTCGAAATTCTTACACGATGATGAAAGATATTATTCCCAATATACAAGTATTTCAGTTAATAGTTTGGAGAAGAAGAAGAATATCAAACAAATGAGTAATTGTTGTATAGATATTTTTAATCAAAATGAAATTTTATTTGTTAAACATTACGAAAATTGTTGATTTTCTATTATTGAATGGAATTAAATCAATCAAGATTCAAGAAACCATAATAATCCTTTTTCTTCTGCACATTTAAAGTTGAAATGAATGAAAAAAGAAATTTCTTTTTTATGTTTAACAAATTCTCTCAAACATATATTTAATGTGAGAGAAAAACAAACAAAATATTTATTTTATTTATTTATTCTTTTCTTCTTCAAATGTTTTTTAACACCAAAACCATTTTCTGAATCATTATATTCATGTTTTCGTTTTTTATTTGATGATTTCATTTCATCTAAATCATCATTTTGTTTATCTTTTCTTTTACGTTTTTGTCGATTATCTTTTTTTCCATCATCAATTTCTTTTATTTGTATACGAGCTTGTCGATCAGCTTCATTAACACGTTCTAATAAAAGCATAACTTCATCTTCATGTGCAACATATTGTGTTAATTGTTTACCAATAAGATATTCAATACGTTGATATAATTCAATATCATATTGTGTTACAAATGTTATCGATTTACCACTACGACCAGCACGAGCTGTTCGACCAACACGATGTATATAATCTTTTGAATGTGTTGGAATATCATAATTAATAACAACATCAACATGTGGAATATCCAATCCTCTAGAATAATTAGTTTCTCTTTTTTTGATATATAAACATAAGAAAAAGAAATATTACCTGCTTGCAACATCAGTTGCTATAAGAATTGATCGAGCTTTGCCTTTAAATTTGTTTAATGCACCAAGACGTTTTGTCTATAGGGAAAAAAAAACATTTCATCATGTAAACATTTAGAAAAATACTGAAGAGAATACAAAAAAGCTGAACAAAAGTATTTCGTATTTTGGAGGCAACTATCCTATTTCGATTAGAAGATTTCATTGAAAGTATCAAATTACGATTTGATCGAATACGGAAATTTTGGTTATTCATGAAAGCTTTTTATCAATAAATAAAAGTCTTTGAAGAAATTACAGTACCCACGAACGTATCTTGTTCTTTTGTTTCAATAAGATATTTAAGTTAAAATGAAGGGAAAAAGTTTAGAAATGCAATATTTTTTTCTTTTTTCCTTAATGGCAACAGCTAGAACATATGAAAGAAAAGTTCGATAGGCCAAAAATATTTCCTATCAGGAGAAAGATCTTTGAAAAACTGAAGCTCCGAAAAAAATCCGATTTTCTAAAAACAAAAAAAAAGTTCATCTAATAGAGGAAAATTTTTTAAAGAAAATGAGATATTCTCGAACCTTGGTTTTCCAGCAACCTTTCACCTAATCGAACTTTTTTTCTCTAATTTATTCGTGTTCTTTTCTCAACGATTAGAATTGTCTGATCTTATTTAACTTGTGATCACTTTCATAATGCACTTTTTACAATATTCTCCTAAATGATTAGAATGATTGTGAACTTTCATCATATAAAAATCATTCTCACTTGACTCATTTGTCCATGTAATGGTACAGTTGTAAAACCTAAATTTCTAGTTAATAATGCTAATCTTAATGTTGTTGTACAAGTTGAAGAAAAAACAATAACCGATTTTCCACTCATGTCATTTAATATTGAAACAAGATAAACATCTTTATATTTCGCTGGTATAAATAAATATGATTGTTGTAATTTTTCAACAGTTGAATATTTATCTGATACTTCAACTTTAACTGGATCACGTAATGAAGCACGTTGTAATTTAGCAACTTTTTTTGTCATTGTTGCAGAATATAAATATGTTGAACGTGTTGATGATGATGAAAGAATTTTAAGAATTTTATCTAAATCAACTTCAAAATCCATATTTAATATTCGATCAGCTTCATCCATAACTAAATAACGTATTGAACGAAGTGAAAAACCTTTGGTATTTTCTAAATGATCAACAAGTCGACCAGGTGTTGCTATAACAATATGTGGTTTTTTAGCTAATACTATCGATTGTGACATCATATCCATACCACCAACAATAACCGCTATGGAAAAAAAAATAAAATAAAATTCTTATAGAAATAATATCTTTGTTTTTTTTCATACCACATTTAACACCAATACTTGAACCTAATGCTTCAAATTGTTCACTTATTTGATAAGCTAATTCACGTGTTGGTGTTAAAACAAGTGCAAAAAGACGTTGTGGTGATGCTAATAATGCTTGAAGTATTGGTAATGCAAATGCACCTGTTTTTCCTGAACCAGTTTCAGCTAAACCAATTATATCTCGATCTATAAATTTGATTAAAACAAAAAAGAAACAATATTTTTAATTAAATATATAAAATAAACAAAGAAATATACTTTGGAATGCAACCGGTAGCGCTTCACATTGAATTTTTGTTGGTATTTTCCAACCAAGTTTTTCACAAGCTTCACATAATACATCATTGAGACCCTTAGGATAACAAAAAATGATATATATTAGAATTGATCTTAACAATAAAAAAGACATGTTCGAATTCTAAAATTACGAAACCTCTCGAAAATGCACCTGCAACAACTGTAGTGATGTCTTACACTCAGAAATGCTAAATATACAATACAATTTGTTTTTGTGGAGATATTCAACGATGGATGTAGTGAGAACCGAAAGCCACATCCTTCTTATAATATAACAAAGCACTTAGTTGTTACTAGATTAGTTCTTATTATTCACGGAACAACACTCAATATTTTAAGTAAGAACCAATACCGATGTGTCTTACTAATATTTTTGCTATGATAAGAAACTGTCCTCAAGTAATAAATCGCTTTTAAGTTGGAACTATATTCAATAGATAGGGCATAGGAAATAAGTAAATACCTTAGAATTACTAAGATATCGAATTTTTAGTGAGTTTTTAGTTTTCAAATGTAATTACTCTAGAGTACTTACTAACGAGGGAAGGTCCCCAGGTGTTACGCTCCGTTTTGAATCGGACATATGCCGTTTTGTAGAGCTCAGTGAGACTAGCAAAAGCTTAAAAGGGTTCTTCCCCATGGGCCTTCGGAGTCGAGTTATGCCCTCTCTACTGAATTTTTGCCCATAGATAGATCTAATCATCTTTAGAATATCCTGAAAATTTCAGCTGAAAAGAATGTTCCTTTATCGAGATATTAGATATTCAAGTAGGTTGGCTTTTTGCGCCTTGTCTGTAAAAGCGATTTATTACTTGAGGACAGTTTCTTATCATAGCAAAAATATTAGTAAGACACATCGGTATTGGTTCTTACTTAAAATATTGAGTGTTGTT